GCATTTTGGCTGTATGAAAACGTTGAAGGGGGCTGCAGCAGCCCACACATTAAAACCTTCCCCTTTCCCACCCCAAGACCAGAATTCAAAATGTAGTTTTGCCCTCCTAATTAATATCTGCCTTTTATGACATAACTCAGCTATAATAGTGACAACAGCATCACATGGGAGCTCTGAACACTTGAGGAGGAAACCACTGTCCAAGAACTGCTTTGTCACGGCAACTGATTCATAACCCTTTGCGTTTTTGAGTGTCTGCTTGTCTGGTACCGACACTGACTGCTCCCTGGATATCTGAGATTTAAAATGGTCAAAAACTCAGTGCTCGTCCCAAGGAAAAGTGCATCTGTTTTTCAAGATACGAAAAAGGAATTACTGCTCCATGAGACAAATGCTGGTGCTTAGGATTAGCTGACTGCACCGCAAGTTTCAGAGGAGGAAGATCCTCTGCTCCCCCTTTCCAAAAGCTGTTCTATTACATGACACTAAGAGAATGGGATTTTAAAAGTTATTTCTAACTAAAACTGTCATGAGCTTTCTAGGGATATAAACGCCAATTTTTTGATGTCCCAAGAGATCAGCTTCCAGCTCCAGAAAAATAAAACCAACCGCCTCCTAATCTGTCTGGAAATGAGGTATTTACACAGGCGACATGAAGAGCGCCACATTCATTTTTCCAGCAGACCGTGCTGCGGCCAAGTGCTACGTTTTGTATCGTACTCTAATGCTCTTCCAAGTCCTGCCTGAAGGATTCAACAGCCCATCTCCGTAGAAGGGGAAGACATGAATCTCTCATGCCTGTTCTCAGGCCCTGCCAACTGGAATAATTTTAAGCACAGATTTCTACTCATTTATGTTCAAAATGGCAACATTTACGTTAAGGAAATTTTATTGGCTTTGGAAAAAAAGCCAGAGAAGGATTTGAGTGCAGAGATGCTGACCTCAGAAATACAGACAGACCAATCAAGCAACATTATGATAAAGTGTTTATTCATTTTTTTTAAATATCAAATTTTTTTTTACACATCAATTTTGTTGATAAACAGTCCCCCAATATTAACAAAAAAAAAAAAATCAAAAAAAAAGAATCAAGTGTGTATTACTTTGGGCAGAACCACATCCCACTCTCTGATGTCACAACCACTCCTCCCTTCAGCCACCTGCGAGGACAACCGCAGTATGTTCAGCCCAGAAGAGTAAATGACACAAATGCAACCAGCTTTAGGATTCCTGAGTATTGATTCCCTCAAGTTCCTTAAGTGAGTTTGTAAAAAACTCTTAAGCTAAAAAGCATCAGTCAAAGAGTAACCCAAACCGCTACGCATTTGGATCACGGACTAAGCCTCGTCTACACAGTGCAGGAAGAGATCTCTTGAACGCTTCAGAGGGGAATGATGTACACGAAACCAACCCCATTTCCCAAGCCGACTTCTGAGAGAGGCAGGCAAAAATATTCTTGATTTCTCCTCTTTGAATTCACGTTAAGAGTTCTGGGGAGCTGTTTGGCAAGAAGTCCAAGTCTGGTGAAGAAACCTCTAGGATCTGTTCCTCCTTTTATTCGTAAATGGCATAGTGTTTTAAAGAAAACTTATCTGGAAGTTAAGCATTCAGCAAGTACACTTAAATATTGCTACTTTTGAGGAAAGGAGACGGCAAGAGGGAGAGACAAAGACAGAAAGAGGGGAACATATCTAGGAGGTACAAGGTTAACAGTCCTGGAGACCAAGTGTCTACGTAGAAAGTTGAACATACGTAGCAACAAGGCAGAGATTGTCACGATAACGCAGCGTAGCTCAGCTCCGTCCAGCAGCAGGTAAACATGCCAGGGACCATCACCAGGAAATAATTTCCTCCTCTCGTCAGAATTATCTGTGCCCAGCAGCTTTCAGATGTCGGTATGTCACTAAACATCACCTCTAAACTCACCTACAGCCTAATGTACAGGAACATGCATTCAGCAAGAGGCTGAGTAAATTCCTTCGGTATCTTTAAGCAAAAGAATACATCCCAGAAACCAACAGCAAGGTGCATGACCACAGTGGCTTCAGGAAACACCCAGAAACAAAGCTCTACAGACCCTCAAGGGTCCCCACAGGCGCCGGCATCGTTATGAGGCAGCTTCCGAGTGTTGCTTTATTCTCTACAGATGGACTTTTCATAGTGAAATCATTTTGCTAAGCTGATGTGACATTAGTACATTGGAGCACTGATGAATGAGGAGGGGGAAGAGAAGAGAGTGAAGAGCCTTATTTTAGGCCAGGGTACATGGCTCCTTGGAAACCTGAACAGCTTTTGGCATTACCTTTATCCCCCGCGCTAGCCAACAAGCGGTCTGCCATCCATGCTTGAATAGAAGTATTCCCACCTTGTGGGCCAGGTAAGCACAGAGACCAGTTAAGGGATTGCTAAAGGCTGAGCAAAGGATGTGTGCGTACAGCAGAGAGGACACACATGCACGTTAAAACAGAAGACAACTTTTAGACAGCGTTCGCTAAATACATGTTCTATTGCATTTTATTTTAACCTTAAATACTCACCACTGCCCAGATTTTCTCCAACATAAATGTTGCTCCTAAAAAAATTATTCTCTAATTTAGCAGCATGTAGCCATTCACTCAAAGCAAGGCTCTGAAATTAAGAGATTTAAATCACCAGGCTTGGACCAACTTGATAAAATAGTTTTACAAGTATTTTTCAGCTGGGGGTCAGGCTTTGTTTCTAGCACTTCAGAGAAAGTTACCCAGGAAATTCTAGCACTATCGATAAATGCTTCAGTACAGCTTTGGCAGAAGGGCAGGTTTCAAAAATTATATTTGACAAAGAATAAAACTGAGCATTGAAGCAAGTTGGCTGATGCTCTAAAGCTTTTATATAGCATAAATTCTGTATATGCAGGCTAAGTAAACGTGGCCATAAAACTAGAGCCTTTAACCAGTTTGGTGCAAAGCAGCAGTACTTCGTCTAGCTATTAGCAATCGCTTTTAAAAACATAACGTGTAAATACAAAAAGGGTATAACATTGAATGGCTAACATCTGATGCCGTAACGTCAAGAAGCTGGCAGTAGGTGAACCTGCAGGCTAAGGGCGCAAATTCGGCCCTCGTGCATCCAAGAGGGCCAACCCGCAGCTGGTCTCTGCGTACCAGATGGGGGCTTGCTCCCAGGACCACCTCACTGAGACCCGTGGCGTGAATCGGGAGCGGATTCGGCTGTTTAGACTGAGGATGCTCTCTGGATCTGAGAGCTGGGAGCTTCATTCTTGTTGCTGCTTTTGATAGTGAACCAGATGCAGATGGGAATGGGTCTAATATATCTTATTTCCTAAGGCTTCTAGAGAGAGATCTGATGACTCTGTACTCCTGTACCAGCCCAAGCGTTACCCTTTACAGAGGTGGCTTTCGCTCATCTGAGGTGCTCATTAATATTTATATATTAATTACTTAAATATTAATATATTTTTAAAAACTTCAGCAGGGGTAACTCTGACCACCTACACGGTAAAGATCATAAAGCTGTAGTCTTGCCTTAGTAACTAATTTTGAACAGAGCCTCAAGTGAATTAATTACTCGATGCTGCTCCGGCAAGGGGTCCCCAAACAGCCAAGCGCTGCTTCCTACATACTCACGGAGCAACGCCTGCTGCCGGCATCACAAGTAGTGGAATATGAACTAAATGTGTCTGGGAGCCCCAGGCCTAGCTGGTACGTTCACAGCTCATGCAGAAGCTCCATTCAACAGACAGAGGAATGCCTTAAAGCTCTTCTTTATTCTAAAGGATCTCCTGGCTGCCCAAGCATCTAAGAAAAACCTGACAACCACTGCCCACTGACGTCAGAAACTCCTGCAAGTTCACAGATGAAACCAAATTGGTCTTGTTTCTAAATGCCACCCTGCATGAAAAAAGCCTAGCACACACGTAGGCAAATCTGCTAAGCAACAGGGAAAACAAAACACCAGGAACACAGGTCTGAGACAATGATAACAACAAATGAAAGCCATGAACAAAAACATGTTTCCAGCTGCTGCTGACCCATCACTTCAGGTTTAGCTCGCAGCAAGAAGTTCAAGATGAACACTTGACACAAAGCCACTTCTGAGATTTGCGAGTGGGACTAAGTAAAAGTTCCTACTTAAAATTTGGTATCATGTTTCAGCCACACTTTCCTTCCCCTTCCCCAGCCCCAACAGTGTTTTGGGGCTTTGCAGAGCATCACAAAGTAGTTCATCCCCAAAAAAAGCATCTGGAAAGGGCTTCCTACAGCACAGCCTCCGTGAGTCCTCATCATGCAGGCTACTCACCAGGGACTTCCCAGAAGGCCACGATGGTTATAATGCAGAAGCCACGTCAGTGCATTTGTTTCATAAACCCTATTGGGGAGCCCTCGCTCTTTAAGAGGTATTAAATTAGTACCCCACCAGCCGCTACAGGCTTTCCACAGTTTGCATTTCCACAGCTGAGAGGCTGATCATCCCCAAACATCGAGATAAACTAGTGCAGAGCAGATTTCTTCATTCTTCTGTTCACACCCGCGCTCGGTGCATAGAGAATGCATCTACTGAAACAGTTCATTCTTCCAGGGGCAGAGGGGGGTTAAAAGCCATAACACACGGTTGGTTTATTAAACAATTTCATCGTTAAGGTTTTGCCTTAAAGTCGTTGAGCTTGTTCTTTTGTATGGGGGGAACATGATGTGGGCAAGGCTAGGAAAAAAAATGTAAAATACTCCTTTTCCCTTCCCCCCCGCCCCTACAATTAATACCAGCACATCTTCAAATAAGTTAAAACGTCTCTTAAGTTTTGGTAGCACCAAATTCTATCCCTTCCCTTCTTCTATCCCCATGTTGTAAACTTGAACACACTGGCCCAAGAGCGTAAAAGGGTTTGGCAAAAATAGGCATCAGCCTTCCCCGTGCACACACAAAAAGCGTGCGCTTCCAAAAACCCTCTCCACCCCTCACTCCTCTTGCAAAGCTTTACACATCTGTGGGCACCTACATACCTTTAGTAGCTGCCATAATAGTTTCATCAGCGTCACGGGTGGACATTGGGTTACAAAGCGCAGGAGAGCTAAAACAAATCCACAAAGTCCGTTTGGACAAGCGCTGTTTCGCGTCTGTGCCATACCGAACTCGGCGTGCGCCTCCTGTCCTGTGCACACGCACGGTCAATTCACTTCACAATCTGCTTTGCGCTGGACAGGGCGGTGATCTTAATGGCTTCTGCTTTTTATTCGTAACATTGGAGCTTATTCTAAAATTGTACATTTAAATAAAAACAGTAATTTTAATCCAGTATGCATAATTAAAAGCTATCCTGTCCACACAATGCTAGGATGTTTTCTTTCTTTTAAAAGGCCAAATCTAATGAGTGAAACAGAAGAGACAAGTTACTTTGGCTGCAAATAATTAAAAAATCTGGCTCAACATTCTGCTTGTACATTATGGTGTATAATTTAGATACGTCCTTTAAAAGAAAAGACACCCCAGTCAGCTACCTCTTCCGTAGTTATGTAGGAACAACGATACTCTTGGCTAGCAAAATGAGAAGAGCAAGATCTGCGTTTCCATCCGCTTGTTCCAAAGCCTCAAGAGCCTCCCGTGTGGTAAAACCAGCACCAAGGATCCGATCAACGTCAGCCGCAGGGAAAGCAGGTGGTAGAGAAGCACCCGAGGTAAGTCCAGTATAGCCAGTTGGTGGGCACAGCAGTGGTTCCTCACACCCATCCAATGGCAACAGACCTTCAGGAGCAGAACTGCTGCTTCTGCCAGGTTCTCCTGTGAACAGGCTCCGAGTATCTTGAGGTGCACCTTCATCCAAAGCAGGTGTAGAGGAAACAGATGCATTTTGCCCCAAAGTCGGACTCGTTGGACTCTGATAACCTTCTGCCAAAACCTCTGCCTGCTCAGAGCTCTGTTGCTGGTCAGATGTCGCTGCAGAATTCACCACGACCAAATCACTCTTACCTGGAAAGTTCTGAATCTCTGAAGCGCCTTCTCCGAGAGCTGACTGCATGCGACTGACTGACCCAATGCTGATGTTTTCTACGCCAGAATCACAAGGCTGTTTCCCCTCTGCTCTTCCACCTTCAGACCTCACCTTATAGAAGGAACAACTCTGTTCCTGGCTGGCTGGATCCGAGTCTTTCTGCTCATCTTCAGAAAGCCCCTTCTGTTGTGCTGCTGACTCTCTGTGAGCCATTTCCAGCTGAGAGACTTCTTCAGAGGCAAGGATTTTACATTCTCCTTTCTGACTGATGATCAAGAGTTTGTGCAGCTCTTTCAAGGCTGATGCTAGAGAGAAACATGGCTCTTCTGAAGGTCTTCCTGGATCCGTGTCCAGCTGATGGATGCTGGAGGGGGAAGAGCTGCCTTCAGCCGACAACTCATTATACTTTGCAGGAATTTCACTAGTGCTTTTAGGCTGTGGGACATCACCGGTGGAAAGCGGACCACTCAAGGAGGATGCAGACTTCAGTGACTCCACCTCCATAGAAAAGGCGTCCGAGTTCAGGTCAGATACACTTCTGTTCTCAGCCTGCCGCTTCTGCTCGCTTGCCGAGCTGTGCGCTTCAGCTACAGACTGCTCAACTACATCTATTTCCATGAAGGCTTCCGTATGCATACAGCTACGGGAGGCTGACATTTGGATACTCCCTTTCGCGCAGGAAAGACCTGCTTTCTCCTGTCCATCTCCTTTCATTTCCGTAGGAGGATTTTCTGGCTGGCTGGCTTCTTCCACAACAGGTTTCTCAACCCCACCAACATGGCAAGGAGGTTCTGGGTCAGTTGTCTCAGTTTGCTTCTCCAGATGTTCCTTTTCTGGTTCTTTGCACGTCTGATGGTCTGTGGGAAGCTCATGCTTTTGCTCCTGTTCTGAAGACAGACATAGATCTTGATTTTGCCCGTGCTTAGCAGCAGTGTCAGCCAAACTAGTTTCTTTTGTCACTTCCAAATGAAGTTCCTGACCACGGTCTCGTTCTTTAGCGTTACATTCCTTTAGACTGTCAGCAATAAACGTTTCTTTGAGTGTCTTCTGTGAAAGGCAAGGTGGATTGCAACAGGTTACCTCCCCTGTTGGGGAAGAAGGGTCGTTATGTGCCAAGGAGGTGCTATTGGAAAGATGCTGTAATAAAAGAGGATGTTCTTTTTCTGGGGTTATCTGGCATTCAGTTGAAGACTCAAAAGACTTGACGGCTCTAGGATCAATGGGCTCTGTGAGACTAGATTCGGATGAGCAAACTGAAGCAGGGGCAGAGACAGAACGATCAAGTAATTGATTGGTGGGATTACAGATCTTGGAATTTAGTCCTGAAGACTGGACTGGATTTTGAAACCCATCAGAAGCTGGTAATGAGGGCATTTCCAGTGAGGTAGTTTCTTTGTCACTATTCTCTGACGGAAGACAGAAAGAAAGACGTAGTTAGGACACACGGCAATGACTGTTTTCACTGTAGTAGCGAAAACTTACAAACCAATGGCTATAAATACCTGGTCTGTGGCCCACTCCAGCTGCAGTAAACACACACTACATGCATCAAGGCTTCTGACGTTCTGTTTGGATTAGGAAACAAACACACCAAACTTGTGTTAGCATTCAGAGCACACCACATGCATGGTTATAGTCCTGCGACCTCGCAGCTCCCCTCCCGACTGTCCATCAAGACAGCGTACGAGCAGCAGGAGCTCCTCGTGTTCGCTGCCTTCCAGAAGGAGTTCTGCCTGGGAAATTCGTTACGTCAAGTCAAAAATAACTCTGCTGGAGAACAATTTAAAGGCAGTTCTGTACTCTCTACGCTGCAGAGTGGTCCGTGGGTGATACTATGTGCTTGATAAAATATACGCAGCACAAGGCACGTGTCTAGCACCGTACTGGTTTGTTCTCTGTACAGCTGAAGATATTCGGGAGCCATCTTTCAGGGAAATGACAATTAAGAGGGCATCACCATTCTTGGGACTGTGCTCCCAGCAGCTATTGCCTTGCGATGGCTAGTGGCATCACAGGGAGGAGAAGGTGAGCAAACATCAGCTTGCTGCAAAAGGGAAGCGTGAGGATCCTAGGGTGAAAGGCAGAAATCCCCAAAAGGAACTGCTGCCCGGGGCTGGGAAGAGCAAAGCAAAGGAAGAGACAGCCAGAAGTCAAACTCAGCTCACTGTTTCCTTCTCCACACGGAGAACGGATGAATTCCAGATCTCTATCAGTAGCACCAAACACTGGGTCTCGTTATCAGGACAGATTAAGTAAGTGAACTTATCGTGCTGATAGTCTAATCTTGCTCATGTATTGGCTCTCATGCTCTCGTTAAATCACTAACATGACCTTTGCTGTAAGAGCGCCTGTTCTTCCATTAAAGCCCTACTCTGTCCAGTGTCAGATATCCAAACGGTGACCCAGGTTTTGTGCTGCGTGATTTGTTGCACTAGTTCCCTTTCCCTTTCCAAAGGCCTCCAGACTCAGTGGTCTTGAACATATACCACTGTTTTCCCTTAAGTCTTTCTCTTTTTACAGATACCCAGGTGTACTGGGGGACAGCTAACCACGCTCCCATGTACAGCCAGGATTTCCTTTAAGTTCCACACCATGGAAGAAATCTGCCTTTTTCACCTCACCTACTCGTTTCTTTTGTTTTCCGTTAAATAAAAATGGTGCACTACATGCTGCGATACCACACCTCCGATCAATACACTTTGGTATAAAATACAGTGGCCGCTGCACAGAGCAATCCCTTCTGTTGGCTGCACATCTGGTCTTAATACAGCTACAACAACTTGGCGACGCTGGAGTATTAAAAAGCCAGAATTATCCTGCAGATTTTCAGACCACTCATCTCTCATAAGGGTGGCAAAAGAGGCTTGTGACACAGGATACGGATGAAAACCGGAGGGATCTTTTTCTGTTTCTACGCGGTAGGATTACGTTCACCCTCTCCGCTCCCAAGCCAATCCTTTAGAGGAAGCAGAACTGTCTTTTGACTCGGTGGATCGGTAATAAGGGTCTGATCAGTCAAACACATCAGGGGTTTGCAGTCATTTAGACAGCAGAAGTAGCTGGTATTCTGCCAAGCGCTCCTCAGCGTCATCCTTCCGAGACCCACTGTCATCATCCTCCCAGGGTATCTACAGGAGCTGAATCCCAGCCCCATCAAGGATATCGATCCAGCTAACACCGGGAACAAACTCTTCTCCACAAAGTGCACCATCAGGGATAAATTTCTCTCTATATTAGGAAAAGCCTGAGTTGCATATGTGGTGGCAGTGCCTTTCTTATATCGAGGCTGTCTGGATAAAAAGCTGTATATGGGGTAAGCTACCTGAATACGCTTCCTCCTAAAGCAACTGTAGTTTTGCTGCCAGTTTTGTAAATCCTCCATAATCACAGAATTGTTACCAGTGGTGGTGGTGGGGAAAACACTGCATATTGGCAGAAAAGGGCAAGCTCGCAGACATAAACAAAGCAGATGTGGAGGGTCTAGGTCACAGTAAAACATACCAGGACTCCACTACCACCTCAGCTGCCTTGCTGTAGGTGCTGAAACACCAGCAAGTCAGCTGACAGAAATCATGACGCTTGCTAAAGTGGGCTTTGGGGAGTTAAATAAAGCTCAAGAATAATCCAGGTGCATTCAAAAGGAGAACTTTAATAGCCTACAGACGTACGCAGTGATTTCTGTTGTACCATCTACCAGAAGGCAGCGAAAATTCAAGCTGTTATGAAAGAACACAGGCCTTGCGGGGAGCTGAGCTTCCTTGGTCCCGCATTATGTTCTCTCCCTCTCCAGTTTCCTGTTCTTTCACTTGGTTTTCCTGGTACCATCTAGCAGCAGCTAATAGTTTTGGAAGAGAGGAAGAGGGTATATATTAATATTCTGACATCTTAGGATATAGCCTGTGAGCCAGAGGCTTGTAATACATCTAAGACTTACACACAGTCAATCTAAACAAGGCCTACCTTAGTTTTGTGCAGGGGTGTTCTACAAGAATTAAGTGAATACACAAAAAGGATTTCCTATTCTCGTAAATATTTTACATTCCTCTAGGGCTCAGCATCAATGGAAAACGGTAGACTGCTGATTAGTCTGAACAAAGCCACGTGGTCTTTAGAACTGTATTGGTACACAAGCAGCTT